CTGTTTAAAACATCAGAAGCTAAGTGTCTCTAAGATACCAGAGCAGAAGACCACCCATTATCAGACATTCCAGACTTCCCTGAAGAGAATGTTCAATGGAACGTAAGAGACTAAAGAGAATCAGACAGTGAATTGCATCGACCATACAAATAACTTTGTTCAGAGGAATGACTAGTGATCTACTAACTAATGGTTTCCACCCCCTAGACAGTTTAGGTGGGGATTTTCAAATATACCTAAGGAGTTTGTATGCCCAGTTCCCCATTATAATTATGGGAGCTGGCCGTGCAGTTACCCTAAGCATATTTGACAACACACAATAGACTTTAACCCCCTACACCAGGTTCCCAAACTGTGATCCACCAAGCACTTGCGGGTGGCCCATGGCACCATTTTGCTTCCTTTACAGCTGCATTAAAAGCTAAAAATATATTCCTTTCTTACCATTACTTTTCAACTGCAGCAATTGCTACAATGATGTTTGGCAGCTAATGGGAGCTAAGATGGCCCATGAAAATATAAGGAGAGGGGAGGGCTCTATGACACATGCCATCAAGATGGGATCCAGACCAAGAGTTGCAGAACACTGCTAAGCAATATACTGAAATAACTTACCTTCTACATCATACCAATGAGCTCCATTGGTGATGCCATCCTTGAATGTCTCAAACTGCTCCCCTGGGCAGTTTGGGGTGCCAGTTTTCATTATCGGGTGGTTCGAAGCATAGGCTTTTGCCAGGTATTTAAACACTTCATCATCAGCTGATTTGCTATAGATTCCATTGGGCTCGTGCATGGGAGAGTCGTCATAGGGATAGCTGGCAACCACAGAGCCCCCGTGCAGGTTCCCAGAGAGCACAAACCTGGTTTTCAACAACAACAAAAAATGCTTATTAGAATCAGACAGAGCACACTAGGGCAGAAGTAACTGCCAGCACCCGTCATCCTGATTAATACAGCTCCTTCTGGCCTAAAGTACTTCAATGATGACATTCTGAAATCCACCCTTCTGAGAAGGAAAGTGGCAGCTCTTTCCAAACTGCATGGCTTTTTGGGACAGTAAATGAACAGCCCTGTATCCAATTAACGCTGCATGATGAGAAGACTTATTAGAGCTTTGCTAATTGTATCAAGGCTATGCTATATCTGAGGGCTTGTCTTCACTACCTGCCCAGATCAGCGGATAGAAATCGATCTCTCGGGGATCGATTTATCGCGTCTCGTCAGGATGCGATAATCAATCCCCGAATCGACATGCGTACTCCACCAGCCCAGGTAGGAGTAAGCGCCGTCGACGGGGGAGCCGCGGCGGTCCATTTGCTGCCGTCCTCACAGCAGGGTAAGTCGGATCAGATACGTTGAATTCAGCTATGCTATTCCCGTAGCTGAATTTGCGTATCTGAAGTCGACCCCTCCCTCCCCCCCCCCCCGCCCGTACGTGTAGACGTAGCCTTAGACACATACTCAGCCCATACTAGATAGGCTCCAACAGC